ACAGACAGACACAGACAGACACAGACACAGAGACAGACAGACAGACACAGACACAGACAGACACAGACAGACAGACACAGACAGACAGACACAGACAGACAGACAGACAGACACAGACAGACAGACACAGACAGACACAGACAGACAGACACAGACAGACAGACACAGACACAGACAGACAGACAGACACAGAGAGACAGACACACAGACAGACAGACAGACACAGACAGAGACAGACAGACACAGTGATAGACACACAGATGCACAGACCAGACAGACAGACAGATACAGAGACAGACACACACAGATAGGCAGACACAGAGACACAGACAGATGCACAGACACACAGACCAGGCAGACAGACAGACAGACCACAGAGACATGGACAGACAGACACATGGACAGACAGACCTGTAGACCGACAGACAGACAGACAGAGACCAGACGGATACAGAGACAGACAGACAGACATACAGATACACACACCAGATAGACAGACAGACAGACCAGACACAGAGACACACGGACAGACCAGATGGACACACAGACAGCAGAGACCAGACACCGAGACCAGACACAGACAGACAGACAGACAAAGAGTGAGACAGAGCAGCCAGACAGACACAGAGACACACGGACAGACACATACAGAGACCAGACAGACAGACATAGAGACAGACAGACGGACAGACAGAATGTCGCAGACAGACACTCATACACAGACCAAGTCTACACACAGACAGACCACAGAGACATGGACAGACAGACAGACACAGAGACAGACAGACAAACACAGACAGACAGATATCATACAGACAGACAGACACAGAGACAGACAGACAAACCACAGGGAAAAAGACAAAACAGATAGACACACAGACACAGAGACCAACGAGACAGACAGACAGACAGACACAGACCAGGCAGACACACACAGACAGACAGACAGACATGTAAACAAACACACCGACAGATATACAGACACAGAGACAGACAGGTCGACGGAAACAGACAGACACAGACCAGGCAGGCAGACAGACAGACAGACCACAGAGACACACGGACAGACAGACGCACTGATAGACAGACAGACAGACACAGACACAGAGACAGACAGACACAAGAGACCAGACAGACAGACAGACAGACACAGACGAGACGGATACATAGACACACTCACAGACACAGAGACAGACAGACAGACACAGAGACCAACGAGACAGACAGACAGATGTAGACACTGAAAGCAGACAGACAGGCAGACACAGAGACAGACAGACAGACACAAGAGACCGGACAGACACACAGATACACTGACCAGAGAGACCGACCACAGAGACACAGACAGACAGACACAGAGACAGACACAGAAACAGACAGACAGACACATAGACATACCACACAGAGACAGACACACAGACACAGACAGACAGACACAGACAGACAGACACAGACAGACAGACAGACAGACACAGACAGACAGACACAGACAGACACAGACAGAGACAGACAGACAGACAGACGAGACAGATACAGAGACAGACAGACAGAAACAGAGACACACGGACAGACACTGACAGACAGACACCAGACGGACACCGAGACAGAGACAGACAGACAGACACAAAGACAGAGACAGACAGACTAAAGAGTCCAGACAGACAGACAGAGACACAGACCACACCAGACAGACCGACCACAGAGACACAGACAGACAGACATAGGGACAGACAGACAGACAGAGAGACACGGACAGATACACAGAAAGACAAGACAGATAGACACAGACAGATACACAGACACACAGAGCAGGCAGACAGACAGACAGACAGACCACAGGGACACAGACAGACCAGATGGACACATAGACAGACAAAGACACCAACAGACAGACAGACACAGACACAGACAGACAGACAGACAGACAGAGACCAGATGGACACAGAGACAGACCACAGAGACACAGACAGACAGACAGACATAGGGACAGACCAGACAGACAGACAGACACAGAGACCAACGAGACAGACAGACAGACGCAGACACACAGATACACAAACTAAGCAGACAGACAGACAGACCACAGAGACACAGACAGACAGACAGAGGGACAGACAGAGGGACAGACAGACGGACAGACACAGACAGACACAGACAGACAGACAGACACAGACAGACAGACAGACACAGACAGACACAGA